AAAAAAAAAAACCCTTCTGTGGTGACCTACCCGCTCACATGCAAAAAATGTAAGAAAACAAAAAAATGTACCCTTTTTCCAGTGACAAGGCCAAGTTCTCTCTCAGCCTGATTTTCCTTCTCTGATGTCACTCCCCCTCTCTGGAGGGAGAGGCAGGTCAGAAAGGACAGGCTAAGGGCAGGACAGAATGGAGGGGGGCATTCTGCCATTAGCTGCCTGGGACCATAAGAGGCCAGTTTTGCATAGAATTGATATTAGCAACTTGGAAGTTTGTTCTGGGCCAGCTAATGGCACTGTTGGAGGTGGAGTTAAGGGGCTTATCTCTGTAAATGTTGTGTTTCAGAGCCAAACTCTGCACATACAGACTCCAGGCACCATGACAAACTTTAAGGGGAGATTTATCAAGGTATAGTGAGAAGTGATGCTATACTAGTGGATAATCCCCATTGGACTAATGCTGCCTATTCCATTAGTTTCCATGGTGGTTGCATCATTTTTAACCTCTATAGCACTTTGCATATCACAACGCTTTCACTGCATTATTTACTAAAGTGAGAATTACCAGATTTTACTAATTACATGACGTAAAGTCATGATTTTATAAAGGACACGGAGGCGAGTATTAGGCTTTATCTCTTTCTTTATTCCTCAGCAGCAAAGAAAGGATATTGATATTTTTTAATATAGCAATAACAAAAAGATAAAACAAATACCCTTAAGGGTTAACCATATAACATTCCATATCCATTAACCAATAGGATCAGTCCTTGTACTATATCCCTTCATGTGAGGTAAACTACTTCCTCTTTCTGGCTGATGCCGAAGCTGAACACATCAACAAGGGAAATTTTTTCTCAAACTTGGGTAATCTTTCGTAGGGGTTCCGGCGAATGTTCCAAATAATGTCGAGATAGTGGACGATCCCGGTTATGTCATCACAGGGTTAAGCTGTAGGAGACAGAGAGATATATGGTAAAATATATTCGAATATCGTTGTCATGCATATATGTTGTACCGGTCCTTAGACAAACGTTTATATCTGAAAAACATTGCTTGCGACATTCTAGCATAAATCAGTCTAAATTGCAGTTACTACCTTATAACTTAGATTCTAAACATCCAAAATGCCATAACTTGTTTATGAGCGAGTGGGTGGGAAAAAAATGCATGTACGGCTTACCTTTCAGTGGGCGGGCTAATACTCGCCTCCGTGTCCTTTATAAAATCATGACTTTACGTCATGTAATTAGTAAAATCTGGTAATTTTATTAAAGGACACGGAGGCTCTTATTAGGCTAGTTTAAAGCTGTGATATGACCCTAGATGAGATATGTTCTGTTGGTCTAAAGTAGTATTCCTTGAACGTCGATTCTCGGGACCAGTCAGCTGTGCGGAGGAGGTCTTCCAGTTTACATCCAATGGAGAATGCTTTAGAGGCCATAGCGCCTCTGGTAGAGTGTGCTCCGTAAGCGGCTGTGTCGATGTTAGCATTTGACATTATCCATTTCACCCAACGTGTCAGAGTTCCCGTGGATACCGGTTGATGAGGTTTCCTCATTGCCAAGAATAAATTATGTGTGTTTGGGTTCCGGAATGGCTGGGTCCGTAATTCATATTCCTGCAGGCATGCTACCGGGCAGAGGTTAGCGTTGTGAGGAAAGGAGGGATAGAAGACTGAAGTGGTGTTTGACTTTGTACGTCTGGTGATATTAAACAGGACACCATCCGGTGTGAATGATCGTGCATCGATATCCAAGGCCCTCACGTCTGATACCCGTTTGCAGGAAATTAAGCATAGAAGCATCGCCAATTTTGCAGACACTTGTTTGAGTGTTAGGTTCGAGTTTGGGGGCCAATCTTGCAACAAACGAAGGACCATATTCACATCCCATAGGGCCGTGTAACGAGGTTGTGGCGGACGTGCAAATTTTATGCCCCGTAGGAGACGACAGATCCATAAGTGCTTCCCAGCCGGGAAACCTTCCCAACCAGTGTGCCCAGCTGAAATCGCTGACCTGTAGACATTTATGGTGCGATAAGCCAAGCCTTGATCATAAAGGGTAGTAAGGAAACCCAAAACCTGGTTTATAGGAGCACGTATGGGATCCACGTGCCGTTCCACGCACCAACTACACCATGTGTTCCAGGCATGGGCATAGGAACGTCTTGTCCCTGGGGCCCAAGCTCCTTCCAATAAGTCCAAAGTTGCTTGTGAAACATTCGGCATGGTCCAGGGTCCCCGGAGAGGAGCCATGTGAGGAGTCTGAGATGACCTTGCACCAGAAGTGGATGAGAGTTCCCATCGGGGTCTGATAATAATTCCGTGCTCCCTGGGATCAATCTGGGGAGGTCGATTGACATTTCCATGAGCGAAGGGAACCATGGCTGTGCTGTCCAGAACGGTGTTATCAAAACCAACGAAGCTCGGGAGCGCTGTAAGTGTAGGAGAGTTCGCGCTATGAGTGAGAAAGGGGGGAAGGCGTATAGCCTGGTGTTCGGCCAATTTTGTAGGAAGGCATCCACTGCGTGGCGTCTGGGTCCGGTCTCCAGCTGAAGAATGAGGGGAGTTGAGCATTCAATCGGGAGGCAAAAAGGTCGATGTGCATCGGTCCCCAGAGTTGGTGGAGCTTCTGGAATACTGTGCGATTCAATCGCCATGCACTGTTGTCTCGTAAATGCCTGGAGTGCCAATCCGCTACGGTGTTGGAGAGGCCTGGGAGGTATTCCGCCTGTACGGATATGTTGCGACTCAGGCAGAAATGCCAGAATTCTTTCGCCAAGTTCGTGAGGGTTAAGGACCTTGTGCCACCCAAGTGGTTGATGTAGCGGACGGCTGAGACATTGTCCATGCGCAGGAGTATGGAACAATTGGTCGTGTGTCCGAGGAGGCTCCGTAGGGCGAATGACCCAGCCAGGAGTTCCAAACCATTGATGTGGAGTTCTTTTTCTTTGGAAGACCATTTTCCACCTGTAGAGGTAGGACCACAGCGGGCCCCCCATCCCAGTCTGCTCGCATCGGATTCTATGACTAGATCCGGAGTGGTGCCGAAGATTGCCTTGCCGTTCCATGCTTCCATGTGTTGAAGCCACCATGCCAGTTCCTCTTTTGCCGCGCAGTCTAGAGGTACAGAATCTGAATAGGAGTGACCCAAGCGTAGGTGAGTTGCCTTGAGTTGTTGTAGGGATCTGTAGTGGAGAGGGCCTGGGAAGATCGCTTGTATAGAGGCCGAGAGCAGGCCAATTATCCTGGCTAGCTGTCGGAGGGTTAAGACTGGTCGAGTCAACGTCCTCCGGATTTCCTTCTTGATAAGTTTTACTTTCGCGGTAGGAAGACTGAGCGTTCCGTGTACTGCGTCTATATCGAAGCCTAAAAACTCTATCGAGTGTGAAGGTTGTAGGATCGATTTGTCCCAATTGATTAGGAAACCTAGGTTTTGCAAAAGGGTCACTGTCCAGAATAGGTGTTGATTCAGTAGCTGTGTGTCTTGAGCCATGATCAGCATGTCGTCGAGGTATATGATCAGACGTACACCTCTGCTGCGAAGGAGGGCAACTACCGGTTTCAGCAGCTTGGTGAAGCACCATGGGGCTGAAGACAGGCCGAAAGGGAGGCAGCGGAAACGCCACATCGTCTGTTCCCATTGGAATTGCAGTAATTGCTGACAGTCCTCGGCAATCGGTATAGTGAGGTATGCATCCTGGAGGTCCAACTTTACCATCCAGTCTCCCAGTCTTAGTAGGTCTCGGAGGCAGTGTATTCCTTCCATCTTGAAGTGATGGTATGTGACAAAGGCGTTGAGAGGCCGCAAGTTTATTACTGGCCTCGTGCCTCCACCTTTCTTGGGTACTAGGAAGATGTTGCTTAGGAACCCGGGGGCGGTAATGGGAACCCTGTATATCGCACATTTTTCCTCCAGTGTGCGAATCTCTTTTAACACTAGCTGTTTGTCTAGTGGGGTAAAAACAATCCGATGTGGCAATGAGAGTTGAATCGGCTGTTGTGTAAATTCGATGTGATAGCCGAGGATGGTCTCTAGGACCCATGTATCTGAGGTTAGGTTGTGCCACGCATCCTGGAAATGAAACAATCTGCCCCCACAGGTACAAAGGGAAAGGTGCGTAATGTGGAGTGACTCACCATAAGGCCGACGGCCATAGGAGGATCCCCTGGTTCCGCGTGGATGCCATGATCTGCCCCTGGTCGGGAAGAATGGTGATTGTGCCCTTGGTTCGGGTGGGTGGAACCGTGGTGTGGCGGAGCCTCGATAGCCCCGGAACTGAGTCCGGGAGGGGCGGCCGGACAGACGGCCCCGCTGTCTGCCGGCCCCCCCGAAAACCTTTTGCGAGAACACTCGCTTCATATTATGTTGTGCCTTATCTAGTGCCGTAAATGTGTTTACGTAATTACCCAGGGTCTTAACAAAATTGTCTCCGAATAAGAGACCTTTTGCCTGTGTTCCAGGCTCAGAGATTGCCAAATGCACTAGTTTTGGCTCGATTTTCATCAATATGGCTTTACGCCTTTCTGTGGCCAAAGCGGTGTTGGCATTTCCTATTAGGCATATGCCCCTCTGAATCCAGCCTCTGATGGCCATCAAGTCAATTGGGGTAAGGGCCCCCAGTAAGGGCCGCTTCGACCATATCGAAGATTTTAGCTATAGGCCCGAGTATGTCCAGGATCTTGTCCTGGCAGTGTTTTAAGGAGTAGTCCAAACCCTTCTTGGCCCTCCAACCTGACTTACCCAGGAATTGGGCGACCTTGGGATCCACTTCAGGGGTCACGCAAGCCATGTCTGGGACAGTGGGCCTTGGGCATTCCGCCCTCAGTTTTCTTCTTGTGGCCTTGTCGAGGGGTTTTCTGACCCTAGTCGCAATATAAACGGCCACATGAGTTGTGGGGTACCACTCCGCTGAACGCGGATTATGCAAGGTGTCGGGATCAAAAAGGGGTTCCCCTTGGGGGTCTAATACAGCGGACTCATCCGTCTCGCGCTCCGTGTCTAAAGCTGGAGGCGCGGTGTCGCTGCGTTCGGGGGACGAATTGTCTGAATTAATTGGGTCGATGTCATCGGACCCATCTGATACCTCCTCTGAGTCCGAGTCGGAGTCGGACGGATCAGATAGGGCTTTTGCCCTCTTCCAAGTCCGCACCGTTTTTGCCCGGCGGGGGCTCTTTTACGTGGGAGCACCACGTCATCAATTTCAACAGGGCGCAACCTGTCCGTCTTACTGGTTCTGGAGGTAGCACCTGACAGATGGTGCGATTTGCACGTAGCCTTGCGGCCACTAGGGACCATAGGCTTGCTATCAGTGGATATAGGGGGTGCCGAGCCCGGGTTGTGACCGGATGCCCTAATAGCAGAGGAAATAGAGTGGGACAGGGTGTCCGACATCGCCCCCATGGCGGTAAAAAATGGCCTGTGTAACAGACCTACTCATCGTGGCATCCAGGAGCGCCTGGAACTCCTCTGAGTTCACGTGCTCCTGGGATGCGTCCCCAACTCCCCCAATGACAGCAGCGTCTGTAGACATGGCTGTCTTATCACGCTTGCTGGGTTTAGTAGAGGTGGGAGGGGGGGTAACTGTCTTTTTATCAGCAGGGGACTGCATAGTGATCAGGAATGTGCACAGTAACAGTAGAGGGAGGCACTGAAATAAACCGTCACTATTGGACAAAATGCACACTTTCAGCACTGCAGAGGTTAATAAAACCAGCAGTATAGGGCAAGTGGCTGAGCACTTGAGTTAAATTAAATTTAAGGCAGGCACAGTTATAAAGAGGCACAAAGTATTTTTGGCACATATAATATGGCAGCTTACCGAGTGTTCCCTCAGGAATGACTCCTGGGGGACACTGGTAAGCTGCCCAACACTTCCCTCACCCAATCAGCTCGCGCCCCTCCCTGTCAGAGTGGCGCGGACCGCGGGCGAAAAGAGCGGCAAAATTGCCCTCAGTTAAGACGGCCGCCGCGATGCGCGAGTGCGGACCGCGCATGCGCGAGTGCGGACCGCGCATGCGCGAGCGGCAGAAATGGCCGCCAAAGAAACAGCCGCCAGTCCGGCGGCGAAACTGCTCGTTCCGGGCCGGGGGGTGTGAGGGGGGGTGGGGAGAGGATGCCTGAGTGACCCCCACCCGGGGAAGTGGAATGAGGGACGGGTTATAAACAACCCGAAAACGGCAGTGCAGGATGGGGCTTGCCTCAGGGAGGAGGCAAGCACCCTGCACTGGGAAACAGAGTAAAACAAACAGTAGTCAAATACACATAAAAATTGAATATTAGACAAAGAAAAAACTGATATTTAAAATGAACAGTAGAAAACAATAATAATATGAATCAGGAGAAAACTGAACAACACAATATTTGAGGAGCTGAAAATATGTGGTACTTAGCTGAGGCAGCAGCAAAGAAAGAGGAAGTAGTTTACCTCACATGAAGGGATATAGTACAAGGACTGATCCTATTGGTTAATGGATATGGAATGTTATATGGTTAACCCTTAAGGGTATTTGTTTTATCTTTTTGTTATTGCTATATTAAAAATATCAATATCCTTTCTTTGCTGCTGAGGAATAAAGAAAGAGATAAAGCCTAATAAGAGCCTCCGTGTCCTTTAATAAAATTCAAATGTAAAGCCAAAATAACCAAAGTGGAAAAATTCAAGTCAGATATTCTTCAAGTTTTTTAACTTTGCCCTAAAATTTCAAATTCACCCTGAATTCTCACTTTAGTTAGTAATCCTGTCACAGTTCACTGTCTTATATCATTTATGTAGTTCTTATAATTAAAATGTATGTATGTGAGCATTAATTACTAGAAGCCATATAGAAGACATTTGGTCACAATAATGGTTTAATAATCATTGTGCAGTTATGTAATGTAATTTTTATGTCAAAGGAAATCAAATCGGCTCCAAAGAAGATCCAAAAAGCTTCTTAACACCAAACGTGAGCTGCGTGCTGCCCTGGAGAGGTCACTATCAGATACCTTATGTCTTGAGCTATACACACTCGATGACAGATATTTCCTTGGTTAGAGACTGATGAATGAGTAGTTCTCTCCCAGTGAAGTGCATATTATATCAAGGTGAAGGGTCTGTCTGATTTTGCCTTCTAGCAAAGTTTCCTTAAACTAAGAAATGCACACATTTCAAACAATAGCCTGACAGAACCCAATATCATTTGCTCATATATCTATCATCAATAATATCCTGCGCTTGTTTGTACAGATATTATGGTGCAACAATATTATTGCACTGCTTGGATCAATGGTACAGACTATGTCTCACTGTATCCTAAACAAACAAAGAAAGCACATGACATCATGCAAGTTTATCCCTCGATCATCTTTCATTGGATGTTGTAAGACATTTTGGATTTCAGAATGTTTGTCTTGAATTTTGCTTCGAGTCATTATTTTGTCCCCATTTTTTTTTTTTTGTGAAATCAAATGAACAACATAATAATAGGTTGGTTTTTTTTTTTTTTACAGGAAAGCACATGCAAATTTTCAATAATTTCTCCTCACACTTGTCTTATTCACCTTTCCTTTAAAAGTCTTGCTTTTAGTCAGAGACAGAGACTCAGAGAGTAGTGCTTTTAAAAATATTACTCATTGATTCGTTATTTTTTTAGAGAGCTCTGTTTTAACACTTTTTTGTGTTTTTAATTCACCTTATCTTTTCCATCATCCTTCAATAATGACCAAAACATATCAGCTTCCTCTAAATAGAGGTAAATATTTGAAATGCTCCATGTCATCCATTTAATGCTGTGTGATGATGGGATGTGATGTTTGATGACATAACTTATTATTATTACATTTTGTATTAATGATAGCATTTATAAGGCACAAACAAAGTACGCAGCACTGTAAAATTGGGGGTACAATATACACAGACAACACAAAAGCAAAAGAGGACCCTGTTCTTGAGCTGCGATCTAGCAATTAAAGCTCTGTTATACGAAATACTTTGTAATATAGCCTATGATCTTACAATCTAAAGGTTACATTAGGGAATTAAAACAAGAAGTAACAGGGTTTTAAAGGTAATAGCCAGATATAATTACTAAAGGGATAAGTACTATATGTTTCACTATTTTATTTGTACTACGCTTTTTAAACATAAAAGCAAATGACATCATAAAATCCTTATGGAATGCTCATATGAACTGTTCTGTAATTTCAGTTAAATTCAATTGCAATCAAAAGATATCACAAGCAAAAAGAGGGACTTCTTTGTCTTATATGTAAGTCTGAGGTTGACAAAACTTGACAAAAGGTGAATCTGGCCACAGAGGCATCGCCTGCATTCCATGAATAGATCTATAGAGGTTTGAGACAGATGGCACAAGAAAGATTGAGGTACCCTTGAAGTAGAGATTCAAGAGAAATATCTCTATTCAGCTTCTGTCTCAAGCGTCTCTTTGTGGAACATCGGATAGGATGCTATTCTTGTGTGATATTGTATTTTCTTGTATTTTTGAACTTAACATCAAAATAAACATTGTAAAAAAAAAAAACAAATAGGAGAGAAGATAATTTAGAACTCTTCAGTTTAGCTGTAGTATAAATGTTTTTGTTTTGGTAAAGAAGCTGCTAGTATGCAATTTGTGAAACAGGGTGCACTAGTAAAGCTAAATATTTTATTAGAAGTTCCTGGTTGAACAGCTGCACACTGATTTCATTTATCGCATTATGTTCTGGTTATGAGTGAATAAGTGAAAGCAAAGTGAAGGACAAAGCGTCCTTGCCATTTAATGAAGAATTTATATAGGAATTTGGGGGGAAAAATTCTAAGAGTGTACAGAAAAAACAAATTAAAGAAAAATAGAAAGATGAGTGTCACTCTTGTGTCTGAACAACATCTTATAAAGATACTGAAACAGAGTTTGGTCAACTCTTTAAAAAAATTTTATGAGTTAGGAACACACACTAAATTAACACTATAATTTCCTACTAACTCTGAGCTAGTGAGATATTGTCATGAATCAACTAGTTTTTGCATCTTTTTAGACTCATACTTGGAAATACTATGGGATAGAGTGGAATTAAATCAAATATACCCCCTGCCATTAAATCAAATATACCCCTGCCATTAAATCAAATATACCCCTGCCATTGAATCAAATATACCCCCTGCCATTATAGAATAATATATCTAAAACCGTAGAGGTATATAGCTCATGCTGGAAATGATTTTCATTAAGTCATTGAATAATGTTGCCTGATTTTCTGTCAAAACGTTTTTAACCGTTTGAAATTACCAGGGCTTTCCACAGTTTCTAAAGGGCCCCTCTACAGAAACACAGATAATGCATAAACTTGCCCATTCTTAGTTCTCTAAGCCTAAGAAATTCAATATTTTGGATTTTTTTTATAAACATGATCTATCTGTTGAAATAACAACTGAGAAAGAACTACAGGTTTTAGACAAGGTTGTAGTTAGAGTACAGTAGACACACATGTGACACACCAGGAAGCCTTCAATCAATCAATCAATCAATATGCTTTATTGATTTTTTGTTTTACAATTTTAGAAAAGGTTACTGATAAGATGCTTTATGTTGTTAAGTATAAAACAATGTGAACCAGCTTTAACCCCGTAAGGACCAAACTTCTGGAATAAAAGGGAATCATGACATGTCACACATGTCATGTGTCCTTAAGGGGTTAAAAGGCTGTTAGAGATCAACTGTAACATATGTTATATCATTTAGCCTTCTGAAAATAAAGAATTACGAAATTAATAAAATAAATAATAGGTCTCGGAACAAGTTTAGCAAATTAATAATGTGATGTGGCACATAATTTGGGCCGTGTCAAGAAAAGTTAAGAATCATTGCATTCTGCTCCTGTTTATGTCACATATTGTAACAATGACAATAATCTCTCCTTTCCAAAAGTCTTTTTCAAACAACACTAATAAGTCCTGCAATTACTTCTCAGGTGATCTAAGGGTAAGAAAACAAAAAAATAATACCTGATTAATAGTGTGTGCACCACAAATGGATGACTAAGTCTAAATGGATAAGGTACAATGTGTTTCAGACTAGCATGTTGAAGGTGCCAAAATATTTTGCTTTAGTCAGCTTTGTCTAAGGACAAATGAGTGAGATGGCATAAGTTCTCAAAATGCCAGTCATCTGAACCAGAATTTATTAATTGATACATAACTATATTCTTCAAAAAAAAAAAAAGTCTATTTGTGTTGGGGAGGGGAGAGGGGGTGCTTGCAATGATAAAAAACAACAACTTTATTTACTCCCTTAGTATACCTCCCATGGGTTCAGGCCACAAAGAATCAATCCAAATTTGGAAACCCCATCACATCACTCCATTTGTTTTACAGATGTTTGGGTTTTGAAGACACCAGATAAGGACCCCAAACATGTTTCCAAATGTATTGATGGCAGCTCAAGATAATCGCTGAATATTTCCTCCCATGCTAGGATGCTCCTACTGTGCATGTGCAGATCCAGTTAATCATCGGGCGCAGTTGTGTTGTGTGTTGCTGACATGAATTATTTTCAGCCATATCTTGCACTGGATGGTATGCTGTAGCAGCAAAGTAATAAAAAAAATCTTTATGAAAGCATCTTCCCTCCAAACAATATGTATGTGCAAGCTAACCTTCACTTTTTATTAGAAGCCAATGCAAAACATATAGTCCATTAAGCATACCTCCCAACTTTGGAGAGTACGGAATCATTTTGTGTGCAACAAATTGCGATACAATCAAATCACAATTTGTTGCACACAAAACTCACAGATTTCTAAGTGGATGATGTGGATGATCCCACTCACACTGTGCATGTGATATGAGGGTTTGACAGATAGAGGCGATCTGAGTTGTGAGTTGTAATGACATATCACAAATCCCTAAGCACATGTAAATAACAGGAGGTTTTTTAGTATTACTCGAACTGCAATTAAAGTGTAAAACCTTGCAGGTGAGTCCTACACTAACAATTCACCTTGCTGTCTTCAGCCAACAGGCAAAATCGCTATTGAGACA